AGGGAGGGAGAGAGAGAGATAGAGAGAGAGAGACTGAATTGATTGAATTTGAGGTAGAGAGAGAGAGAGAGATTTGAAAAGAGGGCTTTTGGTAGAGGTGGGGTGGGGGAATCCCCAACTAGCAGATCTGTAGACCTGCGAGAAAATGTAAAAAAGATTCCATCGGAAAGGGATATCCATTAGATTCTCGTCAATTTTCTCCCCTTTGTTTTTGCGTATTTTTCTGTACGAGGATGGCGATTTTGCGTTCTTACATATGTAGGGATACAGTTTAGGCAAAGGCCCACTTTGCAAAAATCTTGCCTTTTCTGCATTGACCCTTTTTTTTTTTTTTCTTGGGAGCAATTTTCATTCGATATGAACACACGCGGTGGGTTAGATTGTGTGTGTTTGTGTTGAATGGTGTAATAAAAAAAAAATAAAAAAAAAAAGATTAGAGGAAAAAATTAAGATCGAAAGGGGAAAAAATATGTTGGAATTGAGAGAGGGAGAAGGGTGCTATGCAGAGATGGTGATGGGAGTGAATGTTGGGCTAGCTTGCGTTGATGGCTTAATTGCATTTCTTGCTTTTTATCAGGTAATTAAGGGGTTTATGCTGCTCTTTTTTTTTTTTTTTTGGTTTAGTTATTGTTTCTTTTATTGGGTATTTTCTGTAGTGCTGTATGTTTTTTCTGGAAGTGGGTTCAGAGTGAAAACTAGGCACCTTCAATTTTGAAGGTTTTTCCTTGGTCTTCGGGTTTGGTGAAGGGTTTAGATTTGGGTTTTACTGAAAAGTAGTGGGCAATGTAAGCACATTATGGGTTTGCAGAGGTTTATTTCGCAATGCAGACAAAGTATATGGGAATTTGTCGACATATGTGAAAGGATCAAGGTTCCGTGTTCGAACTATGCAAGTTTTTCCTAAACAAATTTACAAAGTGTAGATGTAATGATTGAATTTATTTCGGTTGCATAGCTTACACAATGATTGTTAGATAGAGAAAGCTGTTGAAGTTCCCCTGTTATTTTATGTGTGGCAAATCATCTGTAAAAATATCTCGGAAAAGGATGCTACATTTTCTTGTGAATGTTAGCTTTGGAGAGACGGTCGTGCAATCATGCCACAGTGTCCTGCCTGATGTGCTAAGTGTCACATATCTGTATAAATGCGTTTGTGATGCCACTTGGTTTAGTGCTTTTTTAACATGTTAGCTGAAGTTGTTGAAGTTCATGAGGTTTTTGGCTGCCCTAGGAGTATTTTGAATTTAAAATCTGTGTAATGTTTGGCGTGGAATCTGCTTTTTTAATATGTTAAATGATTACTTTAGTTTTAGGGAAAGGGGTTTAAGTTTATTGTGCTGACCTGCAATGATATATATGCTCATGATGATAAGATTCCCCTTTTCGACGGACCCCTCTAAATGACCTGAATTCTTGTGTAGGGATTTTTAGAGGCAAAAGTTGGGAGAAACCAGAAAATTATGTTGTATAAAGGATGAAATTAAAATATAGTCGTCAGCAAATTAATCGTGAATAGTATATATATATGTGTGTGTGTGTGTGTGTGTGTGTGTGTGTGAATTGGAAATTATGGAAGAGCTTCAAGTGGTTATGGCAATGGCAACATACTATTGTTTGTCCCCTTTGTTTGACATATGAGGAAAAAGCTCCTTACCCTTTTCATTTCTTATATACTGATGAAACATTTGCTATCCTGTGAAATGGGCTTATTTCTAGGTATTTCTAACTGTTTTAGGAGTGTTAATTGTAGTGCTTATGTTCTCATAATCTGATTTTCTGTTACCTATTTTACCAGCTGATCAGAATTCATTCAAGAAATTCGCAGCTTGGGTGGACCCGTCAAAAGGTTTGCGTTTGTTGCATTCGTATGTCGCCTCTTGATGAAGTTATGTTTATGTTATTGTTCAGTTTATGCTACTCTTTGATGACTAGATTTCATGTGATTTGATAATTTTTATTCAATTTGTGGATAAATTTGAATCACCGAATCAGTAATCTTTTTTCATCATGTTAAGTATTTGTTTTTCCGCCAAAGGTCACGAATATAGGTTTTTAACTATCTTTAACAAATAATAAGGTGGAACCATTCACAAACTAAAGCTCCAGTATATTTCTCTGTGTTTAATGTTATGATCTCAATCAAAGCTACACCAGCTATCAAATCTTGCTTTGTACACATGAAGGAAGCAGATATGTACAACAAATCCGTGTAATTATGAAGTTGTAAGAATAAGTATCACTAGTTCCAAATGTAAAAGTCCATTGATAAGAAGGTAAATGATTACGAAGAAAATTTAGAAATATTTTGAAACTCTTTTGGAATGAATTCCCAATCTTAATTCTCCAATGCTGATTCTTAATTCTTAGTCCTCGTGTTTACTTTTCAATCTGAAACCAAATTGATTTATGAAGTATGTTGTCTTTTATGTCCTTCCTTTTAGGAATTCCAAAATCCAATTCGTGAAATTTGTTCGTTTCTTATTATCATGTGATATTCCTATTTGCAACTTCGTATTATCATTATCATCAACAATTAAGCTCATGTCAACTCACTTCTGCCATAATATTACCTCAATCCATAAGTGACTCGAAAAAATGACCGGCATTGAGAATTCTAGTTCTTTTTGTGTTTTTTTGGTATAGCTATTAAATCAGTCTACCTGTCATCTATGTATAGTGGCAGTTATATTCTACATGAAAATTTTATGCAAGTGAATGATTTTTATTTTCAGGTCTTTCATCTGATGATTGGATCCTCTAATTTCGGTGAGCATTGATTTTACTTGGTCTTTTAGTTGAAATCTCATGAAAAGTTGCTCAATCTGTCTGCTGGATTGAGCTGCTATCGGTACTCGGTAGTATATTTTTAAAACTGTATTTGCAGTAATCCTTTTTAAAATACAATAATAAATCCTTTTTTTTTTCAGTATATTTTATCATTTTTCAAAACTGTATTTGATTAACTCATGAAAATGTAATTTGACTGCCAGGTTACTTCCTTTATTTTGTGTTAACTCCTGTTGCCGCTTGTAAAGGATGGATTTGCTGGTCATATTCATGTGGTTTCATCGTTATGGGTAGGGAAATTGATACCACATACAGTCGTGTAATCATTACTTTTTTATTTATTTAATTTTATTTATATCAATTAAAAATTAAATTAATGGGTGCTGAGATATTATACTTGCAGCTTTCCCGAAAATTCTGTTCGTTGCAGCATTTCTTCTACTCCTGTCATTTTGGTAAGTTTTCTCTCCTCTCAAGAAATGAAATTTGTGTATTGGATAGAAATAAATAAAAAACACGGATATGTTTAAAAAATGCCACCTAACTTTTAAGATGGAAGTTATCCTATAAGTCGATTCTAATGAACAATTCATGAATAGGAATGACGAATCCAAAAATTCTATACAATTTTGAAAAACGGAAATATCCCTCGGATCTAATCATTCCATTATATTGACCAAGGCATTTTCTCCTCAACAAAAAAATGCACCCTATTTTTGTTCTTAAATCTAGATGATTGCTCTTCATAAGTTATTCTAATGAACAATTCATGAATAGGAATAACAAATCCAAAAATTCTATACAATTTTGAAAAAGATCCCTCGGATCAAATTATTCCATTATATGACACCGGCATATTTTCCTCAATTTGGTCCTAAAAAAATTACACCCTATTTTTTGTTCTTAAATCTAGACGATTGCTTATTGATAAGTTATCTTGAATAACAGTCTTATTAAGTGGTTTGTTGCATAATTATATACAGAAACCGAACTCCTGAATGTCTTGAAGAAATTTACTATCCTCAGGAAATTAAAGTAAGCCTCACTTATAATAAAAAAAATTGATGCTTTGCAGGGTTGACCTTTGTCATCAGCCAAGTGATGATGAAGAAGATGAAGGATGCAGCGCAAACGAAGCACTTTTAGAGAAGATTAATAAAAATTCTTCTAACTCTAATGGTCGGCGAAGGTGTTGCTCATTTAAGTTGCATAGGATAGGAAGTCGGCAAAAAATCGTGATTCTGGTAAAAGATTTTACTTATTATTCATTATGGTAATTTTTTTAATTGAATTTCTTTACTAACTATCTAACATAAAAACTAAAAATAAAAAATAAAAAATTCTCCAGGTCACCATTTTAATTTTTGCAATAATGATAGCATCCTCTGTGTTGATATGGATTGGCATGGAAAAGGGTCCTATCAGTTCAGCAATCATTGCTCAGGCATGTATTCGTGACTTTTTTTTTTCTTTTTCTTTTTCTCCTAGCTCTACAGTGAAGATTAAATGCGTTCGTAAGTAACACAAAAGTTATTGCCTGAATATTAAACACTGTACATGACATTTTTAGCACTAAGCTACTGAATGTTGAACAATTCTGTTTTGTATCACTCGTTCATCGTTGCATTGAATTGATCTATGCTAATGATTATACTTGGATTTTACATTTGGCTTATGTTTGGCCACACGAATGGGCACAAAGATGGTTCGATTTCATCATTTTAGAGATGGCTTTTTGAGTCACATGATATAAAGTTGTGATATCCAATTCTTCAAAATGATCTTTTGGATTAATTTGTAACGATTATCAGATTCACCGTTGAAGAAATTTTTTAAAATTTATTTAAAAACTTGCAGGTATATGTGGATTTTATTTCCGTAATTTCTCTGTTGCTTGGAGGAGCCTTGGCATGTTACGGTGAGCATCCATAGTAGAATTTGTGGTTTTTCATTATTTGGCATTTTTAACAAAGATCCTACTAAATAATGTGTCAAAATATCAAATTCACCATTTATATCTCTGCTGAAATAGATTATTATTATTATTTTTTTTTTGGTAAAAAACAAACTATCGAATTCAGGACTTACGCTGTTCTTGAAAATGAGAAAAGTGAGAGCCGATCGAGCTTCCTGGGAAAGGTGGAAGGTAGGCACTCAGTTTCACTATTGGTGTGTTATAAACTTTAATTTTGTTCTGCATATGCACGATTATTTTGTTTCATGTTGGTTAAGACGGTACTGAAAATGAAATAACATTTCTGCTGATATCAATAATCGTGCATATGCAGAACAAAAATAATGTCCTAATTATTTTAAATCTATTGCCACCAGTTTCTATTTGTATACTATCTCATCAAAATAATACTTGTCATGCCACATAGGTTGCTGGTTTGGCCATTGTATGTGTCATAAGCTTCACATCAAGTGCTTCTACTGCAATCGGCACAAATATACCTGTAAGTAATTTTTTGGTGGTTTATTGTATTATTTTTTTTCAATGTTCGTTTTCTGATATAAAGTATCTGAAAGCTATCGATTTCCATGTTTTGCAGCTACTTCATAGCTGGCGTGAAAAACGGATTGATGGTGTCTACACATCCCTTTTGCTGTTTTTGTATTATTTCGTAGGTAATATTATCAACATATATTCATTTATAGCAGAAACTAACCCCTTTTTTTTTCCTAAATTTAATAAATATATCTGTCTTTCAAAATTACTAAGTTCATAGAATGGTTTTGCTGACAATAAACTTGAGGGATTTTTTTTAAAGTAGTGCTTAAAAATTTAAAACTTCTCCAATTATAACATTTGGATTCTTTCCAATTTGGGAGAAAAACTTTTCGTCCGAAGATGATCACATTCACATAAAACTTCTCCAATTATAAACTTTACCTCGTGATTTTCTCTAAAAAAAGTTTTCGATTAAATTGTTGTCCGCACTAATTCTTGCAGGTTTGTCAGTGCCCTCAGCCTTCATTTTACTTGTGATGAGAGAATTACCGGCTCGTGTCTCGATTAATCGGCCACAAGAATCAGAAACAACCATAACGTTCATACCCGATGGTTCGGGCTCAGCTCATTATCATCCACCACGTTGGACGGCTGTAGCTAGTGTTCAGAATCAGGTTACAATGCTTTGTCTATCGATTTGTGGTTAATTACTAAAGTACACTTAGGCCCGGTTACAAAAATTCTGGTAACTTTTGACCATATTTTTTTTTAAAAAGTCTAACTCAAATTTAACTCAATCCAACACTCCTCAATATTATCAGTATAACTAAATAATATTATTCAATAATCCTCACACATCACATCAATTGTAATTCACTATTCATCTACTCATATAATTTTAACTACTCATCACTTACTCATCACTTCCAGTTCTCTCTCTATTACTTTTACATCAAATCAACTTTAATCATTGTATTTTAAATATTATTTTAATACAAATTCAAAATCTTGCACAAACCTATCCCAATCCTTTTTTTTTTTTTTCAAAATTAACTGTGGTTATCCAAAACAAATCCGATTATGAAAACAGCTGATGATTCTGAGGATGGTAAAATTGGATTATTCTTTATTTCGAATATGGATGAAATTTTTCATTTTATTAACTTGTAAATTTAGTTTGAATTTTGATGAATGCAGGTGTCAAGAGCAAGCCCCATATGAAATCGATCGGTTGAAACGCGGATATGTGATTTATGAAACGGTGACTAGGAGGAAGGAACTATCAGATGATGGCTGACTTATTCAGCCATGAAGATGAATTTGAGCTCAGAGATAACAAGCTTTTAGGACAGCTTGCCTGTGTGCTTATTTTCTTGTAGTATTTGTTCCTTGTAAATAGCATCCAACTCATTTTTATGCTTCACTTACGCTGAAAAAAATATCATTCTCAATGACGAAACCTATTTTTTATGCTTCACCTATGGGAAAATTTTGTTCATCAGTGTTAAACCATGTCCTTGTGTTTTGTGGAGTATCGGTTTCATCAGTTGTAGCATATTTAATGTTTATTATCAAGAGAGTTAACAATCAGTTGAAAAGAATGCAACTACAGGAAACTTACACCGGTTTCATGACTATTGCAGACATGTAAGTGATCAATATGGTTGATGGTTTGATACCTAATAGATATAGGGAAAGAAAAATTGACCAACCTGAACTTTGACGTTCTTTTGGCTTTGCAACTTAATCTTTTAATTTTTTATAAAATGCAACTCCAACTATATGATATTGATACTGTGCAACCTCAGCCATCGAGACGGCGGAGCTTGAGGGCAAAATTGTAATCTTACATCATAAAAAACTATTAAAATACCATTTTTCTGCATTTCTTCAATCTCAAATATAGAGTTCCCCAAATTGGCGATTTCCCCAATTTCACAACCCTAAATCTTTGATGATTCGGCGAAATGGTTTGGAAAATTCGTGAGCAACGCACGACTACCTCAACTAATAGATTCGTTTCAGATTACGGTAAGTTTGTTGCACTTAATTTATGTTTTCGATTTAGGGTTTTGATGTTTCACTTTCTAGGAAAAAATTGGGGAAAAAAATTAGGGTTAGGGTTCCTGCGAATTGGAGAAAAATTGGGGAAAAAATTGATTTTCGGATCAGAAGGAGAATGTTATATTTATAGATCGAAATATAAAGTAAGATTACAATTTTACCCTTACAAAAGTTGCCAGCTTCGCCGCTTAAGGAGCTTTTCGACCACTTTCGGTGGCTGAGGTTGCACAGTATCAATATCGTAGGGTTTGCATTTTATAAAAATTAAAAGATTAGGTTACAAAGCCAAAAAAGCGCCAAAGTTCATGTTGGTCAAAAATTTTTTCCCATAAATATAACAAGACAATGGAAGATAATGAGGGTGTAAGGAAGAAAAAAAAAAACATGATGTTTGACCTGGAATTACATGCCCATTACTGACAGTTTGGCCGAGTGGTCTAAGGCGCCAGATTTAGGCTCTGGTCCGAAAGGGCGTGGGTTCAAATCCCACAGCTGTCATATTAGAAAAATTTTTACTTATTTTTTCTTTTAGTTTTATTGGGTCATTATGCAGATTTGGTACATCATTCAAGATTATGTTTTTTATTTTTTTGTTGAGAAAAAAAAAAAAAAAAATCCCTCAGAAACTGGATTTTTAACAATCCATGTATTAGATTTATGCCATTATTATCCTAATACACTTGAGAAATTTTGAAACAACTAAACATATATTATTAACAAAACATTATCCTTATTAAACAAACCCATAAAACTTCGAAGAAACTGAGGATGCTCACAATAGCTAAAACTATTAAATGAAACTAGTCTTTCGTGAGCATGATTTAGCTCGGCTTGTTAAGACTCGTCTTTATGTTAACGAGTCGAGCTTGTTCAAGCTAAAAAATATGGTCATTTATATAATTTTATTGGGTCATTATGCAGATTTGGTACATCATTCAAGATTATGTTTTTTATTTTTTTGAAAAAAAAAAAATTCCCTCAGAAA